ATTGGCCAAATTGTGTTTTGCATCAAATTGTGGATTTATTAACGTGCATGTTTCATTGTCAAGTGTATAATAATGCCCTTAAACATGCATAAACTTAAGCCTATATATAATTACGAATTTAACAAACTCACCCCAATCTTTCTGCATGAAATGAGGTTTGGAAAACAAAATATGTTTTTATCTCCCGATGTTAACATGTTTATTTCCTCTGTAAAGTTAAGCTCTCTTACATGGTGGTGCAGAGAGATTGACTCGCTCAGCCTCCAGTGGACAGTTTAGGCATTTCCTTTTTAAGTGCTTGTAATTGACACTTTGCAAAGATCACTCAATATTAGCTGAATATAGCATGGACTCACAAACCCCTATCCCCTGAGTAGACTGCATGATCTAGAATTACTGACTATATACTAAAAGTATAGATTTAATCATTCAATTCTTGTTTTTTTCAGAGCCAAAACTATTTTCAGTAGGTTGCTTCAGATTGTTTGTTACTATAGAAGGACATTATTAAACTAACCTTTTATTCATTTAAAGAACGTCCTCAAAGTATACAGGCGGAAATAATGTGACCTTTACCCTTTGTCCCTTTTTATTTTGAACTTGGGGACTTTTTCTCTTACTACGACTCAGTAACTGGAGTTTCTATTTGAGTTGTTTCACAGCGGAAAGGAGGAAGAAGTGTGCACACCCGAAACTCTGAAGTGAGTCTATCAGGAACCGCAAAGTGAGAGAAGAGGAAAATATATCAAAGAGTTCTGTGAAGAGCACACGGCAGCTGATTCTGAATGCTTGCTAATATTTTCTATGTTAGGTCCGGTGTTATACTCTTACAATAGTACAAAAAAACAGCTTTTTAGTTAGGGCTTCAATTAAAAAATATTTCTGCTTTTTAGTCAAAGTCAACTTTAATGTCAATCTTTCAGTTTGTGTGTACAGACAGAGAGATCGAAATACGTTTCCAACAATCCCGAATACAAAATACAATAATACAAATATACAAATATGTGTACAAATATGTATATCCTATGTATACAATCAACAGACACATTTACACATATGCACACATTAAGATAAAACACAACAATCAATATATACAAAATAACAGTCACTTCAATACTGTTGGAGCCATAATGCATGTGTCTTTGTTTGTATTTTATCTGCACAAGTTTAATGGTGCAGTTCCAACAATGAACACAATATGGAGTGTTCACTTGTGAGTGTGTATATATGTAATCACTGGGTGATCAGGTGTGTGTGTGTGTGTGTGTGTGTGTGTGTGTGTGTGTGTGTGTGTGTGTGTGTGTGTGTGTGTGTGTGTGTGTGTGTGTGTGTGTGTGTGTGTGTGTGTGTGTGTGTGTGTGTGTGTGTGTGTGTGTGTGTGTGTGTGTGTGTGTGTGTGTGTGTGTGTGTGTGTGTGTGTGTGTGTGTGTGTGTGTGTGTGTGTGTGTGTGTGTGTGTGTGTGTGTGTGTGTGTGTGTGTGTGTGTGTGTGTGTGTGTGTGTGTGTGTGTGTGTGTGTGTGTGAGTAGCAAACAGTTTTCGACCGTGTCGGCAGACGCCGTGTCAATATGAGCTGTGTGTTAAATCTGTTTGTATTCAGCGTGACTGCCTGGCATGCATATATTGGTATCTAAATGGTAACTGAAAGGCAATATGGATACAATCAACATGGTCACAAAAATGGATCGATGGATTGAAAGATATACACTCGTATGGACATTGTTTTGTCACCTGGAACACGCGTCCGAACTTAGTTCTCCCGTTCCCATCCCTCAGTGATAAGGTTAAAAAGCCACGACAAATATCTTAGGGAATGTACATAGTGCAAGGTTGTCCATTTAACAATTATTTCCAGATCCTTTTCTAGATTACCCGCTTTCTCTGATAAATGTCAGATAATAGTTAACCATCACAATTATCCTGAGCCTAAAGTGTGTTTTTCAAATGTCTAAAAAAGTAAAAAATGTACAGTTTACAGAAAGAGAAAAGCAGCAACTTTCTGTTTAAATGTTTCAGCTCTGGTTTATTATTTCAGTTTTCTGTGTTTCAAAGTGTGACAAAGTGTTTTTTCCTTTTTCTTTGCAATACTTTAACTAATGAGTCATCCACATATCCAACAATATGTATTTACAGTAATATACTGTACAGATTTAGGGTGTAGTATTAAAACTGTCATATTTCTTTTAATTGTTTGATAGTGTGATACTGAAACCGTTTGTCATTTTGATTTCTTACTTTCCTTACACATGTGGTTTTGTTCACCACTATATGACTGATGCTTACAGACATAATGAAATACTGCTTTGCTGTATAATAATACTGTCAAATTAATCAAGATAAAGGCCATAAATCAGGCCTGTATGACGCTAACAACGCAGATACACAGTTGAGTTGTGGAAACACTACCACCTACTGCCTGCCCTCATAATCCTCCTGCAGGCCCAGAGATGTATTTTATTTAATCATAAACATCAATAGACTGTGAGAGTTACTGTGCTGCAGGCCTTCTCTTTTCAGAGGAAGGGATTAAACAAGTTCTGCTTTCTTAAGAATAACACCTCACAATGGTTTGAAGGGAAATAAAGGAGGGCAGAGATTTCATAAACAAGAGTATTCATGGTACAAAGTCTTTATTATTTAGTGTCTTTAAAGAGGACATATCATGCTCATGTTCATATTAATATTAGCACCAGCACCTCTTTTCACCCTCTGTCTGAAACCAGAGCCCAATCTGCTCTGATTGGTTAGCTGGCTTAGTGTTGCTCTGTTGTGATTGGTCAACCGCTTAGAGATGTCCCGCCCCTTAGCCTATCACGTACAATGTGCTGAAGCGCTAGCCAATAGGAAGTTAGGAACATGAGTGTTACATTGTGATGTCATTGTGTTACCAAAGAAAACAAAGGAGGCATTTCAGACAGGACGAGGGGGGGGGGGGGAACCATTTACATGCACTATTGCGAGACCATTTGATACGGTCTTCGAGGTAATTTATAAACACACGCAAAAAAAAAAAAATCTAGACCGCAAAAGAATTAAACAAGCGAGTGCCTGTTTTTCCTGGCCAAGGTCAGGTTCCTTGAACACAACACAAGCCTAACCTGTCATCACGTGGTATATGTCTCGTCTTACAGGGGTGCAGTGCTGACGGAGAGCACCTGAACGCCGCTGCGCCACTTCAGAAATCGCAGTACCCATAAGGAACTGTACACACAGGGCCGTCCCTCCCTACAGGCCGATCATGCAGACTGCGTGGGGCCTCACCTTGCGGAGGGGGCCTCATCTTGCGGGGGGAGCCTCAACTGAGACGCAAATGGGGCGCACCTATGCGCTTATGCGGCGCAATTAGTGTGGTATCGCCGCTGCGAGGCTCCACTAGTACAAAAAAGTTGTTATTAATAAACAAGAATACAGTTTGAAAGGGGAGTGATTTGTAAAATATCCATGAAGAAAAAGTCAATCTGTTTGCAGTTCTGTTTCATATTGGTGTTGAGAGATGTATCCATAGATCTCCTAATGTTGCTCTCAAAGTGCACCAGATTGATGCTTTTAACTTCAACATTTAAAAAACAAATCTTCCCGGGGGGAGCCCCCGGACCCCCCTAGAGGAGGTTAGGTCCCCCCGTAGAGGAGGTTAGGTCCCCCCCTAGAGGAGGTTAGGTCCCCCCTAGAGGAGGTTAGGTCCCCCCCTAGAGGAGGTTAGGTCCCCCCTAGAGGAGGTTAGGTCCCCCCCCGACTTAAATCATGTTCACATGGACAGGAAACTAAATACATTTGCACACTATGGGTGTTTCTCAATCGCGAGTACGCTTGCTTGGTAGCACATGTCTGCCGAGCATCTTGCTTCAGAAGCGAGTCAAGAATACTTCCTGGCATTCGGAAAACAAAGAGTGGAACAGGCTAGCAAGTGTGCAGGTGTGCGTCATATGAGAGTCCCCGCCTTACATCTTCCGCCACAGATTTGGGGAAATTGGTCCGTGCGCAAAGCATTGTGGGGATTTTAAGGCCGCGAAGTCTACTCATGTGCACACTCGATATTTCTCCAAACGGAGTACGCCGGGCTCGGTAGATTTCCAAGTATACTGGAGATTGGAACAGTCCTTCGGCGGCACTCGATGACGTAGTATGCTTGAAATAGTGGCTCGGAAGCAGCTTTACTCGCGATTGAGAAACACCCTATATCTTTCTGTTTTGGTGGTCATGCCACACCGTGCACGTGCATGTGCGAGTCATGGTAGGATATCTGGATTAAGAGGTTGCCTTTTCTTTGCACAGCATGAAAGAAAGGCCAAATGAATGGGCTGTGATTTTTTTAAGCAGAGATGAGTTCAATAATTTGTACGGCCCTCGGAGGATGTGTAAAAATTGAAATGGCCCTTGAAAGGAAAAAGGTTCCACACCCCCGCACTACAGCAAAGGGAAAACCCAAAAAAGCATAATAGAGGCCTGTGTGTTAATATTGAATAATAATAATAATGATAATAAATGGAATTTATGAAGCGCCTATCACGGGACCCAAGGTCGCTGTCGTAGTAGCTGTGATGATTTGAGTCCTGAAATGACCTCTTTGTATAAACTGTTACTCCCTTGAACTATAATTTCACGAGAAGACTAGGGGTAGAGGAATGTGAGAATTTGGCTCGGGACATCTTACACAGCACTGTAACTTGTATTCATGTGCCTGTGTTATTCATGTTTTATTATCTTTGCTTTTTAATGTTTATAATGTGTTTTATGCTCTTAATGGCTTTCATTTTTGTAAAGCACTTTGAATGGCCTTGTGTTGAAAAGTGCTCTATAATTAAACTTCTCTCTCTCTCTCTCTCTCTCTCTCTCTCTCTCTCTCTCTCTCTCTCTCTCTCTCTCTCTCTCTCTGTCTCTCTCTCTGCTCCTCTCTTCTCTCTCCTCTCTCTCTCTATCTCTCTCTCTCTCTCTCTCTCTCTCTCTCTCTCTCTCTCTCTCTCTCTCTCTCTCTCTCTCTCTCTCTCTCTCTCTCTCTCTCAGGAGCAGATCCATGTGCCGGTCTATCACCCGACGCCCAGCCGGGCCCGACTGGCCACTCAGCTGACGGAGGAGGAGCAGATCCGCATCGCTCAGAGAATCGGTCTCATCCAGCACCTCCCGAAGGGGGTGTACGACCCGGGGAGGGACGGCTCTGAGAAGAAGATCAGAGAGTGAGTAGAACCGCTGGGGGATCACACTCGAGGGTGGGAGCTACACACAGGAGAGACACTGCAGAGATCAGGGTGTCTGTAGGTCTGAAACATGATATGAGAACATTATGTAAGTCACTGTCTGAGAACAGGAAGGAAATGAGTTCAAGTTTCTGAAACAACCTAATAAAAGTGTGAGTGTAACATAGTGATGTCAAAAAGCAAGATAGGGCCTGTCGTGGCTTCCTTCATAGTTTTTCTATCAAGCCACTAGACGCCTTGAACACAAATGTTTTACCCGTTTTCTTTCCTTTATATTACTTGAATGATATTATGCGATGGGTTTGCTCAAAATAAAATAACTTTTACACATGCAACAAAGAAAAGAGGCCTTTACAATAGTCAAAACAAATAGGCAAAACTCCAATAAAATAACAAACAACTTAGGTATTGGTTCTTTCTTGATAAGGCTTATATAACTTAATAACTTAAAGGGTAATTGGACGGTTAAAAACTGTTCCTCGACGGCGTCTTTCTGACAGGTTGCCCATCACTGTCACTTTTAGAGGAGGCGCCGTGGGAATTGTAGTCTTTGATAGTGTGTTGACTACAGACGTCACAATTAGGTGGCCTTTCTTATAAAAACAAAATTCTGGCTCCAACAGGGCCTTTACTTGAACTATGCACCACAAACCTCCGTTACTTTGTGCTTTTCTGTGCAGTCCAATCAGCCCCTAATGACATGTTTCTGTGTTCCCCCCACAGGTGTGTGATCTGTATGATGGACTTCGAGTACGGAGACCCCATCCGGTTCCTACCCTGCATGCACATCTACCACATGGACTGTATAGACGACTGGCTGATGAGGTCCTTCACCTGCCCCTCCTGCATGGAGCCTGTGGACGCCGCGCTGCTCTCCTCCTATGAGACCAACTGACACACACACACACACACACACACACACACACACACACACACACACACACACACACACACACACACACACACACACACACACACACACACACACACACACATCTATATTCCCACAGGCACACCACAAGGTTTTCACACATACACTATGCACACAGTTTACATCTTGCAAACCTGTATCCTGGATTATTTAGGTGCTGATATAAAAAGTGACATTGTAAAAAGTTTCCGCTGAACTGTGCGAGTGTGTGTTTGTGTGTGTGCCGCACAAGTCCCCCAGTTGACCTGCTGGACAGGATCGAAGGTGTTTTTTGTGTTAAGAACAATGAGGAAGCAACGTGAAGGTGAAAACCCGGAAGTGAAAATATGGGTTTCCCAGTGTAAAAGGAAGTAAAGAAGCATGGATCATGATTTTCTGATATTATTTGAGTAAGGATTACTTTTATATGCCGGAAACAAACACGTTGACCAGTCACACACTTCCTTTATTAACTTTTCATCATGGATGTTACCAGAAAAAAGGAAGAAGGACATCCGTGTTTGTTTTACTGCTAAAGCGTGAGTAATGATTAATGACACACCTTCAAGATCTGCTCGACGTGTCTGAAAACTGACACCACTTGATGCAAAAACTCCTACAGATGTTGGATTAACAGAAAAGACTGCAAGAGCTGGACTTCAGACTAAAGACTGCAACATAATATATAACCAGCAGACACACCACAGGCCTCCTTGGTATTGCTGTTTGCCTGCACACATCTATTAAAAACACGATATTGGTGGTGGATTGATAGATCGTCCCGTGGGTTTGTGAAATCTGTCCTGTGTTTGTTTTGTCCGTCAGAAAACAGTAAGGGCTTCTTTAAACCACCAAGAACACAGACGTGGCAAAAAAGGAAATAAGCTTGTGCTTTAGTCACTAATGTGAGACTGTTGCTGTGAAGTATGTATTAGGTCAGTTGAAAGCAATAATGTTAAATTGGACCTGATGTTATTGCTTTCAACTAACCTAATACTGTAATCTGTTGATATAATACATTTAATTAAAGTCAACATTTCAGTGTCGATTACTGACCTAAGCACCAAACCATTGATACAAGCCAGTTATATTTGCACTTCTTATTTAGACTATGTACCATATGCATTCAGAAATAATGTCAGAGTGGAGTATGTGATCTCCTTTTCCTACAAATTCTCATTACTATTGCGATGATTTGTAAAGAAAGCCTTGGCATATGTTGTGAAACCGAAAGCAATCATTTACAGCGGAAGAGTTTCATCTTAACCCACAATCTAAACGCTTTGTTTTAAAATGTCGTTTCCCAAGGCTACCAGTTTACTGTTGAAGCACAAATGACAAAGTTTGCCCTCCTACGTTGAGCAAGCAGAAATTCATGATCCGCAAAAGGATTCACACTTGTATTTCCGGATCCACACTTGTGTTTTTCAATGCACACACAAATGTGTTCCGTTTCATATACATGTAAATAAAATCCAAATACAGAAAAAAGTTTTACATATGTATTTTTGATCCTCACATATTTGTTTTCCGTTTAAATCCCCTGAACCTGCAAACACAAACCGCTTTCTGTGCATGGATCGCTGTGCATTCGTGTGTGGGTTTTTTGAGACTCCCCTGACGGTCACCCGATTCGTACTTGTAATTTTTTCTATCTATAGCCAATCAGATGTCTCCTTCATTCTAAGCCAATCACATGAGCGCGTCCCCACGAGGGTAGATTTATTGCGTTCATGACACTTCATATACGCATTTTGCGCTGTCCGGACTCGGAGCAGGGTTTCCGCAGACAGAATTTATTTTACCGGACAAATTTGAAACTTACCGGTCATGTTTCAATAATAATAATAATAATAAGAAGAAGCAGAGTTTCCGTTAGTAGGTAATTACCGGACTATGACCGGATATGGCTAATAACACGGGAGTAAGGATCATCTATTTTTTCCTCTCTCCTGACAGCCCGCCAGTTTCTCATGCAGCTCGCTAAAACTTCACTCGCGTTTATGTCCATATCGATCAGATCCAGCTCTCCTGATCGGCCTTTATAGAGAGCACCGATCAAACTATTAAGAGTGAATATCGGCCGATAATGACCGGCGGGGCTCCCCCCGTTGACAGTTCACTGTCTAGCACTGGCTTCGTAGTGCACTGATCGATTAGGCTAAGCTAACCTGTAGCTGCTCCCTCCACACTCACAACAACTTCATACAGACATAAATAAAGCAGCTGTATTCGCCATACAGGAAACACACATTTAAAACGGTTTTGCCTGCCGTTTTTGTGTACACAAGCATTCATTAATGGTTCGGAAAGTGGCACTGTACCTTAATAATATAAAGGCTTGTATTTGCGTGCATTTCCTGCTCTGAAAGTGGCAATGTACTGAGAGTGGAAGTGTCCTGAGATTAGCGCCTGCAGGCAGGCTCCATGGACCTGTCAGCTCCGGACAGCGCAAAATGCGTACATGAAGCGCATCGTCATGAACGCAAGAAATCTACCCTCGTGGGGGCGCGCTCATGTGATTGGCTTAGAATTGAGGAGACATCTGATTGGCTATAGATAGAAAAAATTACAAGTACGAATCGGGTGACCGTCAGGGGAGTCTCAAAAAACCCACACACGAATGCACAGCGATCCATGCACAGAAAGCGGTTTGTGTTTGTAGGTGCAGCGGTTTTAAACGGAAAACAAATATGTGAGGATCAAAAATACATATGTAAAACTTTTTTCTGTATTTGGATTTTATTTACATGTATATGAAACGGAACACATTTGTGTGTGCATTGACAAACACAAGTGTGGATCCGGAAATACAAGTGTGAATCCTTTTGCGGATCATGAAATACAAGTGTGAATCCTTCTGTGTGCATGTGTGTATTATGAGACTGTTCTGAGCCCATACAGGGGACACACAAATAAAAGTCCTTCCATCAAATTCGTAATCAAGTAAAGGTACAAAAGTAAAAGTATGGCTCATTTCAGAATCATATATATTAAAGGATTGTATCATTTTTATTCATGCATTATTGTGTTTATCTCTTTAATGTTGCATCTAGTGAAGATATGGTTTAATTTAATTATTTAATTTACGGCAGGGTAACCTATACAAAATAATGTATTACATGAAAATCAATTTTATTAATTGCATTCATCTGCAAAGTGTCTTGTAACTAAAGCTGTAAAATAAAAGTAGTGGAGTAAAATCTGGAAACAATCAAGTCTGTGTATCTGGGCAGGTGGTGGATCTCTACCAAAGGGAAATGAGTCAAAGCGAGAAACTCGAGAAACTAGAGTGGCGAAGTCACGCCCATACTTCATCTCAGTTCCTGATAAGTGAAGGTCTGTTTCTTATCAAATATAAAAATGGTGTGAAAGCCGCATGATGCGGTTCAGCGCTTTTCCTTTTCTAGTAAAATAATGCATGTTTTTTTCTGCTTTATTTGCAATACAAGTCATTTACCATAAGTTCTTAATAAAACTGACACTGTTTGACTCAGTCCTAGTTTGACTGCTACAATAAAATCAAGTAGGCTACTTTTACTGTGTTCTTTTTGGGTAATACTCTCAAAGTCCCCTCCTGAGAACAAAATCATGCCACAATTGGTACTGTTGGACTCAGTGTTAGACTACTACCACAAATACAATGAAGTAGGCCTTCTTTTATTGTGTACTTTTTGAGTAATACTCTGTCAAACTCCCTTCCCGAGTACAATAATGCATGTTTTTAGCTATCTTTGATGAGAGATAAAATGGTATTTTGCCAAAAGTTCTTAGTTAAATTGATACTGTTGGACTCAGTACTACTTGGACTACTACCACAAGTACAATCAAGTACTTTTACTGTGTACTTTTTGAGTAATACTAGGTCAAACTCCTGTCCTGAGTACATTCTTTCATGTATTCTGCTATCTTTGATAAGAGATAATATCTATATTTCAGGTATTTATTTAAATAAGAAGACCTTTGAATAAATATTGCAAAACAAAGCCTATATCACCTGCAGGCTTAGCCAGTGTGTATTTCTTCCTGCGCTACAAGATTTCGATGTGTACACATCTGGGCCATTTATTGTGTAATTTCTCCAAACATATACAAATGCCTGTATTGGAGTCAAAAAGGTGCAGTAGAAGGACTTTAGCAGCATCATAAGAGGCCAACAAGAGTGACAGGGGTGTGTCACTGTGCTGAAGGAAGGTTGTGAACAGCTATCCAGGATAGTCTCTAAAGACTTTCCAAGGGGTAACAATGCTGCTGCTGGAGTACTGATCTAGTGGATCTAGTGTTGATGTCATCTGTCTACCTTATCCTCTTAAAATACTCTGTCTAACATTATCTGTACATTACATTACATTACATTACATGTCATTTGTTAGACACTTTTATCCAAAGCGACTTACATACATTCAGTACTGTGGACAATCCCCACAGGAGCAATTTGGGATGAAATGTCCTCCCCTGATTCGAAGTCCAGCACACTACCCACTGAGCCACAGCCTCCCAGTATTGTGAACGCTTTTAACGCTTATTCAATATAGCAGAAAACATGCATTATTCTACTCAGGAGGGGAGTTTGACAGGGGATTACTCAAACACTTGATTGTACTTGTGGGAATAGTCCAAGTAGTACTGACTCCAACAGTATCAATTTCATGTAGAACTTGTTGCAAAAAATCATTTTATCTCTCATCAAATATAGCAGAATACATGAATTATTTTACTCAGGAGGGGAGTTTGACAAAGGTTTACTCAAGAAGTACACAGTAAAAATACTTCATTGTATTTGTGGTAGTAGTCTAACAAGTACTGAGTCCAACAGTACCAATTGTATTAAGAACTTATGGATACAAATCATTTCATCTCATCAAATATAGCAGAAGTGGCATGAGTTTGTTCTCAGGAGGGGACTTTGAGAGTATTACCCAGAAAGTACACAGTAAAAGTAGCCTACTTCATTTTATTGTAGCAGTCAAACTAGGACTGAGTCAAACAGTGTCAGTTTTATTAAGAACTTATGGTACAAATGACTTGTATTGCAAATAAAGCAGAAAAAAACATGCATTATTTTACTCTTGTACAGCGATTATCGTAAAGGCGCTATTAATTGCGCACTCAAAAATGAATAGCTGCTGATTTGACCAAGCGAACGCGAGAGACGGCTGAGTTGACCGCAGTTATGCAACAGCAACCGAAGCTGAACTGACTATCTTGACTACTTGTTGCTATCCTATTGTGGCATAAGCCGTTTTCCACAGGCACATTTTACCTTTTCATTATGATTCTACGTGATAGTCGGACTCGGACATGACAACCTGTGCAGCCCATGTATTGATTCCATCCGATAGCTGCTATAATAACAAACAAAACGTCTGCCTGCTCTCCACAATGATCAATAACAGCGAACGGATGGTCAAAGTAAGGTTTCCTGCACGCCTCGACGCAAGGGCGCCGGAAGCGGGGGGGCCAGGGGGCCATTGGCCCCCCCACTTTTCAGCCCTGCCCCACATTTTCGCAGCGGCGGATGCCGTGGAACACTGTACAAATCCCGTTTCAATAATTCCCCTCTACTCTAAAGTCGCATCTAAAACGCGATCTGATATAGCTGTTTATATTTTGTTATGTTTGATTGTTATATTCAATCTCATTAGCTACAGGCATTTTTTAAGCTTGTAAAGCTCTCACTCGCCACTCTGCTGTTCCACAGCGCCGCTTCCCCTCCCTCTGCTGAAATTATGAATGTAAGGCGTATAGTAATCATAGATAACACGGCAGGGTCCGTTACAGTTTGTTTTTATCTGATTTCAAATAAACAAAGTCTTGGCTTTCAGAATATTAAACTTGTTTCGGCAAATTCAGATGATAAATACAGCTTTGAAGCTTGTAACGGCATAATTACAAGCAACGGAGTAACTTTACGTCACTGCAGGCATAACAGCCGGTGTTTCTCGTGAGTGTTTTCCCCGGGAAACAAACACAATACACACAAACGCAAAAATACACAAACACACACACGTATACACACTCACACTCGCGGGCTTCCCCTATCTTCCCTTCGTACTATTTTGATCATTTGCTCCGCTAATAATCAATCAGACCATCCAGAGAAGAGGAAACTTTAAAGGCCTTTTTCTCAAAATGATGACTCTGTAACAGTCATTATATAATGTGACATATTTTGCTTAATATTTGGAGTAGCTTACAACAACAATCCTGATATCATTAGAAAGTTATGAATCTCCTCTTTCCAACAGTGTATACAACTCAAAATGTGTCTTCGGGTCAATGCGACTGATTTCGATGGAGCAGGTCACTTTGCATTAGGTAAAATAAAGCAGGCAGACATAACAGGAAGAATATGTACATTTTAACCCAATCAAATAGGACATTGTCACACCATTCAAATGTATCCATGTAAATTACAACCAATAAAAAAGCTTAGATGTGTTTATTCGTTACGTTGTTTACTTTATTTGTTACGTTGTTCTGTGTGTGTCAGCCGTTAACCTAGATAGAAAAAATATATACACTTGCAAACACGTCAGAAGAACAAGCGCAGAAGAAAACTAAATACAGTCAATCTAAACTTAAATTAACAACTGGAAGGTCACATCCCTGACATCCACGTCTCCGGAGCCTGGACCTTCATCAATCATAGAACCAGCGAAGCCAGATGAACCCAAAAGCAGCAGCTCTGCGGCCGCAGAGACTGTCAAAACCACCGCCACCGCCGTCGTTGAACCGAAACAGGCTGGTTCCGACTGCATGGAGGTTTGTTGTCGGGACATTGAGACGGGTAAAGCTGCAGCTAACTGACCGCTAGATCGTCTGGGCAAAGAGAAAGGTACTTCAACGCAGAATGGTACAAAAACAGAGAGTGGTTAATTATTTGCAAAACCACTAAACGGGCCTTCTGTGAAATATGCAGATTTGCTGCTGTCAAACGGCTTGTAACTTTCTCAAAATGTGGAGATGATAGCTTTGTTAATATCGGAGTTAATAACTGGAAAAAGTGCCCAAGCCTCCTGGACAGCCACGAAAAGTCTAATTTCCACAGAGTGTATTAAAAAAAAAGTGCGCTTTCTTCAGTCAAACACCAGTCAACATACAGCTTGTCAAACAACAGCGTATATTGAGCAGGAAAAAATAAGAGATGGAATGATGGAGCAACTGCGCTGTCTGCAGTTTCTAACCCGACAGGGCCTAGCAATCAGATGCGTGCGGATAAGGAGAGCAATTTCCAAAAGAACTCGTAGCTGAGAAAAACCCCACTCTGAAAAGCTTCATGAGACAATTAATGAACTTATAAATATAATGTATCGGTAGTCTCTCACCACTATATTAACTGAAATTTAAAAGCAATGCAAAACATGCAGTTATTGTGCTTCCAGCAAACATCCACTGATAAACTGCGATGTTAACAACCTCATGATAACCTCATATTTTTTTAACTTAGGATCTACCTGTGTTTAGTCTAGAAAAAGGTAAATGTGTGGATTTTATTATAAAGTTGTGTATATTTACAGACTGTTGCAAAAACTAAGAAACTTATAAACATCAGGTTTAAAACTAAAAAAGCTTTACAAAAAAGTAACACAATTAGAGATGTTTGGAGTTTTATTTGAGTTATTAATTTACATTTTTTGTCAAAGAGATGCTGATTTGATACCGTTGATACAGTTACGGCATTTCCTGTTTCTGCCGGAGAGAGGGGAGTTTGTCCCAAAGCTTGCCGCTGTATCTACTCCCTCCATCTGACAGGAGGGAGCCTCATGTGTCACTCCACGGAGTTCACTCCGTCACGGAGGGGGAGTGTGTAGGGGTAGGGTGTAGGGCGTGGTTTGGGATTGGGCCATACACACGCACTTTTTTGGCCCCCCCCCACTTTTAAAATGAATAGAGTGGCGAAGTCACGCCCACCTACTTCCGGGTAATGGGACCTTATTTCGGAAAAATTATGCATTGAAGTCAATGGGGAGAGAAAACGTATCTTTCGATCCCGTTTGAATTGTGCCATGAATTACACATATGATGTTTGTCAAATCATTTCCATGTCAAAAAAGTCACAGTTTGTCGTAAAACTGTTGAAATATAAGACTATGAAAAATACGTAACTAGAAAGACTACAAATCCCAGAGTCGCGTAAGTGATGTCACAATTGTTTTCCTCCACCATTCAGATACCTAAGATCAGCGCAATATTGATATAATCTATCTATATGGCGCTGGCTAAGATAAGATAACTTTAACAAGATGCCTGTGTGCTTAGTACCAGGTTGTTATTATACCAGCAATGGGTCTTGCTCGTTCTTTTGCTTCCCGTCTGATGAAAGGACCAGGAGTGGCTTGATCAAGTTAGCTACCTAGCTAGTAGCTAGCACGTTAGTTAGCATTACAGCCTTGTCATTTTTATTAGCCTTAACATGAAGTAACATTAAGTAACCCAAAATGTTGAACAGTAAGAGTAGTAGTCATATTTCGTGAACCCTTTGAATAGTACTGTCACCGGTGTGATCATTCTATAATACACCATTTAAGCCCGGGGGAGAAATGCTAACGCTAACGCAAGCGATCTTCTCTACTTCATGCTATCTGCACAAATGGTTGACATTAAACATTAAAACGACCAGGCAGTTCAGAGAGAATCAAAGGAAGGCAGGCAGGCAGCTTTGTATGACTTTCTTCAGGACGTGTTTCATTGTGGTGATAGTGAGGATAGTCAATCGTTTTGTTGACAAGACAGTAGTGACGGCCATCTTGGTGACGTGTGTTGTTCTGTGAGACCAGAGATGGAGTTCATTGAGCGTTTCACACAAACAAATGTGTTTCTTCACAGTTTTACGACACTTTTTTTTTTTTTGACTTGCAAAATTATCTTTTAAATTGACAAACATTATATGTGTAATTCGTGGCACAATTCAAACGGGATCGAAAGATAATCTTTCTCTCTCCATTGACTTCAATACATAATTTTTCCGAAATAAGGTCCCATGGAGGTCCACCGGAAGGGGAGGGACTTCGCCACTCTATCCGGCGCGCCTGCCTCGACGTAAGAGAGACGTAAGCGACGCCGCGTCATAGCTCCGAAGCTCTTGCCTCTGGACCGACAATTTTTTGGAGCTGGAAGTGAACCGCATTCCGGAGCTATGACGCGCCGCCGCTGCGGTGTGAACAGGAAAAACCGGCGCTTTTCCAGCTCCAGCTCCGAGCAGGAGCTGGAAAAGCGCCGGTGTGAAAGGGGCATGATGATCAGAGACTTTTTCTCTCTCACACTCTCATTGATAAGAATGGGAACAGCCTGGAATTCATTGCAGTGTTTTATTAAGTCAGATTGTTTATGCATTTGATATATGTTTAGCTTTTACATTCACATTACTCTACCAGCAGAGAAAGTATAGGAGAGAGTGGGGTTAACACGTTTGTTCTTTGTTCATTTCATGATTTTCAATACAGGGGTAATAAAAATGTCAGGGTCACATTTTTAAACAACATGTATCCTACCATTGATAACATGAGTTGAATTCATGCTTCTTTGAAATGGGGTTACATTACATTACATGCTTTATAAGACAGGAAAGTGCTGTTTGATTACAATTGAATAGATTTTAGGTGGTAACTCAATGGACATAACTTATTATTTGATGGGAAGGGACTAAGCTAAATGGATCAAATTAGAAAATAGGAACTAATGTCCTATTTGCTAAATAATGCACTAATGCAGGCCTCCTCATATGATAGCTACACAACAGCAAAAGTGAAACTTCCCGCTGCTTACAAACAAGTTTTTGGAGCACATAACTTCCTGTAAAGTTGTCTGGTTGTATGAGGCCAAAGACCAAATAAAATATATCTTGATGAGAATAAATCATGGTGCATTTAAGAGCACTTTTTGTTTATTACAAACATGTGTCCAGTCTCCCGTTTCTCTCAAAACAGGAGATGCAAATGTATAAAGTTTTCCCAATTGCAGTTGATTGTTTTGTTTTAATCAATTTTTTTTTAGAAAAGAATCAGCAGAAATACTGAATACTGATTCATCTTCATCATCTTCATCATCTTCCTCTGCTTCGTCCTTTAGTCTGTGAGAGAGAAGAGAAAACAAATCAATTACTTCCTATCACATCTAAATCTTAATCAATGTGATAATAATGCAATACTTAAGTGCACCAATCATATGTGCATCTTTATTATAATGGTGTATGTGACCTTAGATAAACCTGATAAGAATGTGTTGATCATGAGTCATGAACAAAAAGGGGATTTCAAAAATGAAAGCCCCATTGAACCCTGCCCTGGCTCTTAAAATGCTGAATAGACAGTTATTTATTATTTAGATTTCTGGTATTCCGCCAGGCTGTGAGAAAATAGACTTATGACAAGCATGATCATCTGACGTGGGTTTTAGCTAATCTAAACTAAACATTGAATACTGCTTTGAACCGGTATTCCTCCATCTTGTGACATTTTAACTCCCTCTATAAGCATGTGAAGGACACTGTAGATCATTGAAGCTCAAGCCGGTGACGAGTGATATTTTTCTAACAGTTCTGAAATGGGCCATTTGCATATCCTGTAATGGCGGTAAAAAAACGTTCCACCCAGGGGCGTCGCCTGGACCTGAAAGCATTCGGGGCTTAGCCCACAGTGGCGGCGGCACTACAGTGGCATTTTTTACTGCAACACTCCCCACACGCACACACACAGTACACCCGCGACTGTTACAATGAAGGCTCGATAATCAGCTCACGGCATATAGGCAGGGGTAAAGTGGTATTTTTTATGAGTGGGGGGCAGACCTCCTCTAGGGGGGTCCGGGGGGATGCTCCCCAGGGAAGATTTTTTTTTAAATATTGAAGTTAAATGCATCAATCTGGTGCACTTTGAGAGCAAAATGAAGAGATCTATGGATACCTCTCTCAACACCCATATGAAGCAGAACTGTAAACAGATGTACTTTTTCTTTATGGATATTTTACTAATCACTCCCCTTTTAAACTCTATTCTTGTTTTACTGCCATATAGTATTTCATAACTGTTTTTCCTTTTTTCTCTTATTTTTTTTATAACTATAATGATCATATGAAGGTGTGCCGCGGAAATAATCTTTTGAATAATTTGTAACCAAACCGTTTGAGACCCACTGAGATAACTTAGACTAAAGTTAAGTATCTAAACACTCAGAGAGTCCTTTAGCTCACCTGAGTCTCTCAGTCTGAGAGGAGAGGACTCTCCTCCAGCTTCTTGTGGAACAAACAGCTCCTTATGTCCGTTAGTGCAGCTAGCTAACCAGATGCTAACAACACGGTCCATGCTGACACCGGTCCCTCCCTCCCCCTCTCTCCCTCTCTCTCTCTCTATCACACTAAATGCGCTATTGCCACACACACACAGAGCCGAGCTTGAATGACACAAGCACACGTTTATTTCCATGCAACTCTCTGATTGGTCTGGTGCAGGGCTGGACTGGGACAGCAAATCGGCCCTGGCATTTAGACCCAGACCGGCCCAAATCCATAAAACAAACGAATAGTAGCGGTTCCTGACAAGAAGAATAACTCAGTATAATTTTAAAAAACGCTATTATTATCCTTTTTACGTACCAGGGGCAAACAAAACTAATACATACCACAAGTATGTGTAACTATCAATCATTAGAAATTAGACCTTCAAACCCTCTCACAAAGCGAACAGTGACCGAGCACTAATAGGGGGGTCTGGTGGGGTATGCCCCCCACAGAAGAAAAGTTTTAAAAATAACCCCTTAAATGATGACTTCTAGTGAATTTAGGGGGGGGGGACCCTATAGTGCCCTGCCTCCCCTTTCTATGACAACACAATAGAGATAGGACCAGATGAGTCTACAGGATGAGTCGACGGCATCTTTTTTATATACATTGACGCTTTCATTTAATTTTTCCATCCTTTTTTTAATCGCTGTAATTGTATTGCCTTTTTCATCTGTACACACGACACCTATTGCACGTCTGTCCGTCCTGGGGGAGGGATCCCTCTTCTGTTGCTCTCACAGAGGTTTCTTCCTACTTTCCACTGTTAATTGTGGGGTCTGTTTTGGGGAGTTTTTCCTTGAGCGCTGCAAGGGTCTAAGGACAGAGGATGTCGTACCTGTACACACTGTGAAGCCCTCTGAGACAAATTGTAATTTGTGATATTGGGCTATATAAATAAAATGTGATTGATTGACGCACGCAAGGGGCTATAGTGCAAGTCTTAGGCGGCTGGTTTCTCAGAACCTCACAGAGCACACAGAACTGAAGGAACACAGGTTTAACCAAAAATACTATCCACTGTCTTTATTTTTTTTCCTGAGAATAGGTTTGAAAGAGACAGATTTAAATTTACAAAGAGAGTTGAAGCAACATTTGACAGAAATCCCACATAAATTACAAAAGTACACAACTAGCAAGATATATATACTGTATATATATACTGTACACACAAAGTAACTTATATACTAGACTGAAATAACTAAAATGAATGCTTGTTGTGGAGAGGGGCACTATGTCCAGCGTCCATTCCTCTGTGTGTGTGTGTGTGTGTGTGTGTGTGTGTGTGTGTGTGTGTGTGTGTGTGTGTGTGTGTGTGTGTCTGTGTGTCTGTGTGTCTGTGTGTCTGTTTGCATGTGTGAGTGTAGTTGGGGGGCTTTGGGAGAGTCAAAAAGGATGCAGGTGACCTCTTTGGTCCCTGATAGAGGTCCATACAAATAGGCATTGACATAACAATACCACACAGTTAATGGTCAAAACTACATGTGTGCCTACATTTTTTCTTCTATTTCTATATTATTCATTCTATATATTGTCAATCAAAACTACCACAAAAAGCTGACTATAAACATTTTGTTCAGGTCCCAAAAGACCACTGTTGCCCTTATAACCACATAAGTAAATAAACTAAACAAAACAAGCTGCCAGCTGACAGTAATTGTTCATGAATGGTGGTTAACAAAATAATGACATTCTTTCAATGAGACAACGTATCAGAGTCCCATTAAGCTATATTTTAACTTGCCAGGGAAAACCTAAAATAGCCAGCTTACTAGCTTGTAGGCTAACGAATGTTTCTCTAATAATATGTGTCTTATTAGTGCTTCATCAAGGGGATATTAATGGGTTCCAGAACTACAGAGTATCATAACCTTAATAATAATCTTTTCCTAATTTTCTTAGCTTCTGCTTACCGCGAGTTCTCCTCCCTCTCCCCACTCGCGCGGATCTCTCTCCCTCTCATCATCTTCCTCACCACCAATATCGGCCACGGGTGCTGAATATGGACCTGCACCTGTGCTAAACATGTCGGTTATTTTGACACAAGCGGCAACATCAGCACGAAGGGCCTGCTTTTTTCTTGCCCGCAATTTTTCTGCTCCCCCTTTTCGCTTGGCCTTCGTCTTCGCCTTCGCCTTCTCCATTTCTAACTCGAACTTTTTTTTTTCTCGAAAAAAAAGGCGATTTGGCTTCAACGGCCGGCTCACCTCCTGGGGGCGTGATTTAATGATGCACACCGAGCGGCCCAAAGGGGGAGGTGATTAAAGATTTGATTGGGCCGGCCCAGTGTCAATTACTAAAAACATTTAAACAGAGGGCCAATCTACCCGTCTTATGGGCCGGGACTTCAGAAAAAAAAAAAAAAATGACGTGTCGGCCCAAAAGGCACGTCGGCCCACCGGGAAAATGCCCGGTATGCCAGATGGCCAGTCCAGCCCTGGTCTGGTGTCATGCCTCTGTTGCATTCACCGAACACGGGAAATTACAGTGCTGCCGTCCTCTCTTGTGTCATGATGAGGTTCACGTAAAGCACGGTTAATGTATTATATTATTGAGGGAGAATTGTCCGGGGCTACAGAAAAAACATTCGGGGCTAAAGCCCCGGATGCCCAGGCCAGGCGACGCCACTGGTTCCACCCCCTTCAAGGATCAAAACTTGAAACCATCAGAGTAAATCCAGACGACAGTAGATCAGAAATGTCTCTATTAGAAAAAGTAGAAAGTAGAAATAGTTTTAGTAGTTTTTAGTAGAAATCTCCCTTACAATAAAGGCAGTATGCCCGTGTGTCATCTCCAATAAATGGCTTCAACCATCCTTTAAACTCAGGGTTTGATTCCCACTCCTTGCTGTACTTTTGTGAATACAGTTAGAGACTGTGACATGATGACCACGTGGATGTTTAGACAGAGAGGCACACACACAGTGGATGAGGTGACTGTTACATTTAAATCCGGCTCAAAACCAGGACGGCTTGGCAGTTGGCGCATGCAAAATGTATTTTATGGTGTGGCTGTCTCCTCTCTGCTCTGACTGCAGCTGAGCTGCTGCGGGAGGCAACTGAGCGCCTGTGAGTAGCTACTATGGGAGGGCAGAGGGGCTCACGGCAGCACCCGCGGCTCGTTAACTGCAGAACAATACGTGAGTCTCCAAACACCAGAAAAGTCCCTAATAACACCATTACAAGTCGTTAGATTAGTCGTTAGTCGCAAAATAAGTAGCCGGAGTGTTTGGAAAGCCGCCGAATTGAACGACAAAGTCGCCAAATTGGCAACACTGGTTGTGAACGCAACGGATGAAGGACCAATCAGAGAGGGTTTACAGGAAAACTCTCGTCTCCTATTGGCTGATATGTCTGTCGATCATAGCTTGCTGATGCCCCGACCATGGATGTATAATAAGAACGGCCCCGACAGGTCAGTTTATTTTAAAGATGGGCTGCAGCAGCAGAATACCAATCCAAAAACGTCCACTAATGCCGAGTCAGGAAACAAGGTGTGGACATGTCTTATATAACCTGTACCTGCTGGGCTCTCTCTCTCTCTCTCTCTCTCTCTCTCTCTCTCTCTCTCTCTCTCTCTCTCTCTCTCTCTCTGTGGGTGTGTGTGTGTGTGTGTGTGTGTGTGTGTGTGTGTGTGTGTGTGTGTGTGTGTGTATGTTATTGTGCATGCAGGTGGAGAACAATGAGGCAATGTGAATGGGGCCTGTGTAGACATCTTGTGTCAGGGTAACTGAGGACTTGTTTCAGCGTGATCATATCTGATGGGTTCGCTCATAACACTTGAGTCGTTACGTT